CAGTCTTCACTGGGCAGTCGCGATGACGAGCTAGGAATCTCTTTGGATATTCCCCCTCAGCCATCGAGTCTTGTTCACTTGCAAAAATCGCGTCCTCGTTTACAAAGAAGAGCAGGAGCTCTTGGGCAGGGTAAGAGAAATCCGGTACAGACATCCGCTCGGCCTTCTTACCGATTAAAATCGTCTGCACTAAAGTGTACTACTGTCATGGTGATTTACATTCTAGAGTAAAAGCAGAGAAGTTATCTTTGAAAATTTTGGAGATGCTTTGTTAGTTCAAATGGTTTAAAAAGGAGTCCCGCTGTGGGGGTTCTCGGCGGAGAATTAAGCATGGCACCATTTGCTGATTGTCTTTTTCGAATATGTCTCTTTTTTAGCACGGCAAAACCAGAATAATAATGAGGAAAGCCCAATGAGCCGTAGTACGGATATCGAAGAGGAGTCCCAGTCCACCAAAAGCGAAGACAGTTGCTGTGGCAACGATGTGGTCGTGAAAAAAGTGCCTAAGTCTTACTTAGATATCTTTCTTTCGGAACCCTCAAACTCAACTCATCTTTTCAAATTCAGCATCCAAGCGAAAGGGCTGGCTTCCGTGCCGCAATGGTACCTGATGCTGCCGCTTTGTCACAAGCAGTGCTTCGATCCGCTACTGACAGAGCAATGTCACCGAAGCCCGAATCTTCGGGAAATAGTTCGTCTCTCAGCTCACCAGGTCCATCTTCATCACGAGGAGCAGCAGATTCGGACTCACCGCCGCCATTACCACATCGAATGAGGTAGTATTAGGGAAAAGTTGTACAGGATGCGCATCGTTAGATACCTGACGCTTCTCGCCGAGAGAGCGCAATGGGATCGCTGTGATCGGTCAAATTCAGCGCGATTGAGCTTAGCGCCAGGCGCACCTTAAACGCACCCCCTTCCAACCCCAACGACGGCTATGTTATTGCGAACGCTAATCCCTGCGGTTAAGAAGCTGTCATTTTGCGTCTCGTAGTCAGAAAGCTTAGGAGTACAGCAAAATGAGGCTCAAATATGACACAAAGATATGTTTTAATACTCCTAGGACACTGATAAGGGATTCGTATTACTTACTATGTTACTTCTAGAGCAGTCTTAAAAATTTGTCTTGCTGCCTCTTACGGGTTCTTTGGACATATGTCATAGACACTTTGCATTAAAATCAAAACTGTAAAAGTAACGCTTACTGATTGCGAAATAAGCACTTAATGTACATCCACTTAGCATATCTTGATTATTTTGGTTTTAAATTCATTTTTGGATCATTCCTAGTTATACTGTGTTGCATTTATGGCTTGTCTGAGTGAGTTCTCTCAGACTTTTGACATATATTGTACTTAGGTCATTGTCAGGCTTCAGCATATCCTATCACTGCGGTATTTGCAATCTAACCTTAGCACTCCCATACGCAGTGCAAATGAGTTCTTCTGATTACGAATCAACTTACAATCTTCGGCAGCGCTAAGATAAACTTCGCGATACGAGGTAGCCGTCTCAGGAGCGAAAAGCGGGCGGGACTTGAGGTGCTCTTAGCGCAAAGTTCGATCATGCTGGATTTGATCGATCACACTGAGATTGCTCTCTCGACGAGAGAACGTCGTATATCTAACGAACACCCCCAGTCGCACATAATAGAATTATGGAACGTCTAGCCATAAATAGTTTCTTTCATCGGATTTATGGAAGCCATTGGAGTCTAAAACGGCAAAAATTTCTCTTTGCTAAAAACGAATAATACCTTAGGAGCAAAATTGTTCTTTTTGGGTCAGGTTCAGACTTCACCAAAATCATTGTCTATTTTAAGGTGACTGCAATAACTATTCCAGTAGGAAATTTAATATTTGTTTGGCTATTGCAGATGCATAGTTTCAAGCATGAATATAGGCAGTTTGATCGGCTCTATATGGATCACTGCGAGTTAACGCGCTTTTTGAGAAATGTGGAGGGTGTCTCATTTCTAAAAGCTTTGCTTCTGCTATAGGCATCAAATACTAATTTCTAGGAAATCACCGATCAGAAATGTTGAGATTGTACAAATCTTAGAATAGCTAGATAACTTTATTAAAACGGCTAAACTTTCTAGTAGACTTGTTGATCCGACTAGTATACGGGTAAAGCAAGATAGACGTACTCTTTTGTTACCATTGCTTGGCATAAAATTTAATCTTCTGGTATTCATTCAACACCACGTTGAACGATTGGTAAACCCAAATGATGAGTTTGTTCGCAATGCTGCTGTTTTGAAGTATTCAGAAATATATCTTATTTGCATTCATTTCTCAAGTTAATTACCATTTGTAGAAGTCTGCCTTCTGTTCCACCTGTTCTTCCTCCCAAACCAACGCCACGGAATGCTCCTTCTGCTAACTCGCTAGTTACTGAAACAGAAACAAGCGATGAAAATGCGAATAATCGTCGCTCTGTAGCTGATATGGCAAGGATCTTCAATCGCTAAACATGGTACTTGACAAAGTATTCGATTTATAGCCATATTCCTGGAGCCACTTCAATGTGATGGTGCTTTGTAAATGTTTATCACATTGCTATCATCACCGGAGGCTCC